GGGTCACTCAGGGTCACTCAGGGTCACTCAGGGGTCACTCAGGGGTCACTCAGGGTCACTCAGGGGTCACTCAGGGTCACTCAGGGGTGAATCCGGGCTGGTTTTGGGGTACTTTGGGCTGTTTTTTGGGGTTGTTTTTGGGCTGATTTCGGGGTGTTTTGGGGTTATTTTTGGGCCCCTCTCAAGCTGTTTTTGGGGTGTTTTTGAGGTGTTTTGAGGTTATTTTTGGGCTGATTTTGGGGGGGGTTTGGGTTCTTTTTGGGCTACTCTCAAGGTGTTTTTGGGGTGTTTTTGGGGTTATTTTTGTGCCTTTCTCAGTCTGTTTTTGGGGTGGTTTTGGGATGTTTTTGGGCTGTTTTTGGTGTTATTTTTGTGCCTTTTTCAAGCTGTTTTTGGGCTGTTTTTGGGGTTATTTTTGTGCCTTTCTCAGACTGTTTTTGGCCTGGTTTTGGGCTGGTTTCGGGCTGTTTTTGGTGTTATTTTTGGGCTGATTTTGGGCTGGTTTTGGGGTTATTTTTGGGCTGATTTTGGGCTGGTTTTGGGGTTATTTTTGGGCTCCTCTCAAGGTGTTTTTGGGGTGTTTTTGGGGTTATTTTTGTGCCTTTTTCAGGCTGTTTTCGGGGTGTTTTGGGGGTTACTTTTGTGCCTTTCTCAGGCTGTTTTTGAGCTGTTTTTCGGCTGTTTTTGGTGTTATTTTTGGGCTGTTTTTGGGCTGTTTTTGGTGTTATTTTTGGGCTCCTCTCAAGGTGTTTTCAGGGTGTTTTTGGGGTGTTTTTGGTGTTATTTTTGTGCCTTTTTCAAGCTGTTTTTAGGCTGTTTTTGGGGTGGTTTTGGTGTTATTTTTGGGCTGATTTTGGGGTGGTTTTGGGTTCTTTTTGGGCTTCTCTCAAGGTGTTTTCAGGCTGTTTTGGGGGTGTTTTTGGTGTTATTTTTGGGCTGATTTTGGGGAGGTTTTGGGGTTATTTTTGTGCCTTTCTCATGCTGTTTTTGGGCTGGTTTTGGGGTGTTTTGGGGTGTTTTTGGTGTTATTTTTGGGCTGATTTTGGGGTGTTTTTGGGGTTATTTTTGTGCCTTTCTCAGACTGTTTTTGGGGTGTTTTTGGGGTGTTTTTGGGGTTATTTTTGTGCCTTTCTCAGACTGTTTTTGGGCTGTTTTTGGGGTGGTTTTGGGGTTATTTTTGTGCCTTTCTCAGTCTGTTTTTGGGGTGTTTTTGGGGTGTTTTTGGGGTCCCCAGGCCGTGGCCGTGGGGGGTCCCGGCAGCCGCTTCCCGGCTCAGCCGTCCCTGGACAGCGACGAGGAGGAGGAGGAGGAGGAGGAGGAGAGAGAGGAAGGACCCCCGGTGGAGGGTGAGGGGGAAAGGGGGGGG